AATGATAATAAAGACAATAAATGGTACGAAGTATTACGGGTCTGGTGAGATCTGGCAACGCTCCCGATAGTAAACAAACCTTTTTATTATGAATGAACAGATTCGTTCAATGAATGGCAGCTTTAACAAGGTTATATCTCGTTATATATCATATGTATTGTGTGTTGAAGTAACTGTGGAAAATTAAGAGACGTATGACGATATATTTGGTGTTTGTATGTCCACTTATTTACGTCACAGAAGTAAATAAGGTTTGTGTTCTAAATACTTTTATTTCACAAAATAAATCCTTTTTTTTCCTTTCCCAATCGATATCTACAAATGGAATAGAAAGATATCTCGATTAGATTTGGAAAGATAACTCGATTAGATTCGCCTCGCACTCTCAAAACCATTTAACATTTTCTGAAACAGAATAACATTATGTATTCTTTTTCTTTTTTCTTTTTTTTTTTTTTTTAATCAGAGCTGACGTAGACAAGAGTTCTTCCAGATATCTGCTTGCACTTCTTCCTTCTTCCACAACTGTCGTAGAGATTGCCTGTGAAGGAACGCGTGGGTGTATAGACATGTGTATGTGTGTGTGTGTGTATGTATGTCGCAATGTCTGCCTTTTAAAGTTAAGTTAAACATGTCTTCAAATTGCTCGAGGTAGAATTCAAGATAAACCTTTTCCACTTTTGGTAAAGAGTTCTCAGCTTTTTTTTTTCCTTCAGTTATGGGACATTTTGAGGGAATGTTCATGGATTTTCCTCAATCTATCCTTCATCAGTTATCAGCGGTCTCTGAACACTGGGGAAAACCAACCCCCAAATATCAATTGTAGAGAAAATAAGTGAATAAGAAAAGGATAAGAAATGATAGAACAGAGGGATATGAAAAAAGAAAAAAATAATACTAGAGACCAGTCACTCAAATCAGGTCATGTTTACAGTTAAAAAGAGACTGACTGGAAGGTTTTTTTCTTTCTTTCTATCTGTCTTTGTTTCTCTATTTCTCTTTTTCCCACCTTTACTCTCTCTTCTCTTCCTACCTCCCTATCTATTTTTTCCCTCCTTCCCCCAATCTTTTCTCTCTCTTCCTACCTCCCTATCTATCTTTTCCCTCCTTCCCCAATCTTTTCTCTCTCTTCCTACCTCCCTATCTATTTTTCCCTCCTTCCCCCAATCTTTCTCTCTCTTTCCTACCTCCCTATCTATTTTTTTCCCTCCTTCCCCCAATCTTTCTCTCTCTTCCTACCTCCCTATCTATTTTTCCCTCCTTCCCCCAATCTTTTCTCTCTTCCTACCTCCCTATCTATCTTTTTCCCTCCTTCCCCCAATCTTTTCTCTCTCTTCCTACCTCCCTATCTATCTTTTTCCCTCCTTCCCCCAATCTTTTCTCTCTTCCTACCTCCCTATCTATTTTTTCCCTCCTTCCCCCAATCTTTTCTCTCTCTTCCTACCTCCTATCTATCTTTTCCCTCCTTCCCCCAATCTTTTCTCTCTCTTCCTACCTCCCTATCTATTTTTTCCCTCCTCCCCAATCTTTTCTCTCTCTTCCTACCTCCTATCTATCTTTTTCCCTCCTTCCCCCAATCTTTTCTCTCTCTTCCTACCTCCCTATCTATTTTTCCCTCCTTCCCCCAATCTTTCTCTCTCTTCCTACCCTCCCTATCATTTTTTCCCTCCTTCCCCCAATCTTTTCTCTCTCTTCCTACCTCCCTATCTATCTTTTCCCTCCCTTCCCCCAATCTTTCTCTCTCTTCCTACCTCCCTATCTATCTTTTTCCCTCCTTCCCCAATCTTTTTCTCTCTCTTTCCTACCTCCCTATCTATTTTTTCCCTCCTTCCCCCAATCTTTTCTCTCTCTTCCTACCTCCCTATCTATCTTTTTCCCTCCTCCCAATCTTTTCTCTCTCTTCCTACCTCCCTATCTATCTTTTTCCCTCCTTCCCCCAATCTTTTCTCTCTCTTCCTACCTCCCTATCTATTTTTCCCTCCTTCCCCCAATTTCTTTTCTCTCTCTTCCTACCTCCCTATCTATTTTTCCCTCCTTCCCCCAATCTTTTCTCTCTCTTCCTACCTCCCTATCTATCTTTTTCCCTCCTTCCCCCCAATCTTTTTCTCTCTCTTCCTACCTCCCTATCTATTTTTCCCTCCTTCCCCCAATCTTTCTCACTCTTCCTACCTCCCTATCTATCTTTTTCCCTCCTTCCCCCAAGCTTTTTCTCTCTCTTCCTACCTCCCTATCTATCTTTTTCCCTCCTTCCCCCAAGCTTTTCTCTCTCTTCCTACCTCCTTATCTATCTTTTTCCCTCCTTTCCCCAATCTTTTCTCTCTCTTCCTACCTCCCTATCTATTTTTTCCCTCCTTCCCCCAATCTTTTCTCTCTCTTCCTACCTCCTATTTTTCCCTCCTCCCCCCAATCTTTTCTCTCTCTTCCTACCTCCCTATCTATTTTTTTCCCTCCTTCCCCCAATCTTTTCTCTCTCTTCCTACTCCTTATCTATCTTTTTTCCCTCCTTTCCCCAATCTTTTCTCTCTCTTCCTACCTCCCTATCTATTTTTTCCCTCCTTCCCCCAATCTTTTCTCTCTCTTCCTACCTCCCTATCTATCTTTTCCCTCCTTCCCCCAATCTTTTCTCTCTCTTCCTACCTCCCTATCTATTTTTTCCCTCCTCCCAATCTTTTCTCTCTCTTCCTACCTCCCTATCTATTTTTTCCCTCCTTCCCCCAATCTTTTCTCTCTCTTCCTACCTCCCTATCTATTTTTTCCTCCTTCCCCCAATCTTTTCTCTCTCTTCCTACCTCCCTATCTATTTTTTCCTCTCCTTCCCCCAATCTTTCTCACTCTTCCTACCTCCCTATCTATCTTTTTCCCTCCTTCCCCCAATCTTTTCTCTCTTCCTACCTCCTTATCTATCTTTTTCCCTCCTTCCCCCAATCTTTACTCTCTCTTCCTACCTCCCTATCTATTTTTCCCTCCTTCCCCAATCTTTTCTCTCTCTTCCTACCTCCTTATCTATCTTTTTCCCTCCTTCCCCCAATCTTTTCTCTCTCTTCCTACCTCCCTATCTATCTTTTTCCCTCCTTCCCCAATCTTTTCTCTCTCTTCCTACACCCCTATCTATCTTTTCCCTCCTTTCCCCTACCTATTTTCATCACTCCTTTTCATTTTTACAAGAGGACTCCTTCATTCAACCCTCTTCCACCTTCTCCTCCAGATTAAGCCCCAGTTTGAGGTTTAAATTTGTGAATTCTGACCGAAATATCACTGATGTTTTGGATAATGAAATATACATTAATAAAAATCACCATGAATAACTGTGCACTATGCGTCAAAATACGTTTTCTTTTTGAAGTGGAAGGAAAAGTAGTTAAGTCAACCTGTAGATAAAACTTTTTTTAACGTTAGGGTTCTTTGTTGTACAGACCTCATACTCATATCTTACCGTACTTCTTATGTTTCTTTGCTCAATTATAAGGTTTTATTACACACACAAAAAAATAGATGTTCAAATGAATTCCTGTTCAGATAGGGACGATGTAAAACCTGGACTTCGCGACCTCTTCAGACGAAGGAAAAATCGAAGAATTAATTTTCCATTTTACTGCGCTGATGAGGAGACCTTGTCTAGTCCGAAACGTGACGTATTATTCCGTTCCTATCCCGGCAGTGTTTCGTTCTATCTATGTAGATACGTTACAGTGTTTGTATTTTTGTTTGCAAGATGTCTTTGTTGTATTACCTGTAATTGTAGTTGTAAAAAAATATATTGATGTAGGGAACATGATAACAGGTCTTTGGTTATACAATTTAAACTGTTATTCTAAGTCACAGTTTTATCGTTTCTTTGGTGGAAAGAAGAGATCTGTTTCTGAAAAAAGGAGAGATATATTTATGTTATACAAGATAACTGACATGGCATTTGCATTCAGTACATTAACAATATTTTTGCTGGCATTTTTATTTTTGGTATCGGTAAATACTATGAATTAATAATAAAAAAAGGCAAATGCCAACACGTTCACTCTTTACACCTGCTACAAACACATAAACATTCACAAACAACAAGTCATAACTCCTGAGGCATTGTTTATTGGAGAATTTTCATATTGCACAATGGATCGCACACAATTCGCACACTAATATCGCCTCCTTCATCGGACACAGGAGGTTCGTTATAACAGACACTCGCAATATCCCGGAAGTTGCATGCATTTCAAATTCTCCAGATAAGTTTTAGTTTCTTCACTTAAACTTTTAACACGGCAGTGATAATATAAAGATGGGGCCGCTTTATATTTCACTTTCCCTTATCAATAGCGCACATCAAGAAAGATAAAACCACGCCCACAGATCCACCGTGGAGGTCAGGTCTCAGGGGAAGACAGCCAGAACCTGTCGCGCGAATCGTCCTTCGATCCGAGAGGCGCTGCTCGCCACCTGCTCCTCGGGGACTCAGTTCGGCGCGTGGATGGCGTAGCGGAGGAAGTCCATGATCCCCTGGGCGTACGTGGTGGCGTTTTCCTTCGTGATCTTCTGCGTGTAGTAGTCGAGGGAGTAGCAGAAGCGGCCGCGGAAGGTCTGCAGCGTGTGCTGGCACAGCGTGGGCATGAAGTGGCACGACACGGAGCGCAGGACGAGCGACACCTCGACCTCCTCGCCCGTGCCCGGGAAGGTGTGGGTCAGGTCGCCCATGTTGGTGACCGTGTAGTGGCCGTCGTTGGCGGACGGCAGCCGCAGCCACGCCAGCCACGCGTTGTGGCGGATCAGGATGATGAGGCGCTCGCTCATCGGCTGCAGCGTCAGCGCGCGCTTCGACTCCGTCAGGTGGTACTTGAGCCTGGCGTGCACCTGCCGCGCGTACCTCCAGAAGGCCCTCTCGTCGTCGGGGCCCGTCGGGAAGCTCACGTCCAGCAGGGAGATGTGGCAGCCGAAGCTGTTGCTCTGCTGCTCCTTGGGCCAGTAGCGCCGCATGTTCACCGCCTGCGACGACCACAAGTCGGTGTTCTTCAGCCGCCCGCCCTTCTGCGCCATCATCTTGTACATGGTGAGGTTGGCGGCGGCGGTGAAGGCGGAGTTGAGCGTCACGCCCTCCATCTTGCAGCGGCGGAGCAGCTTGCGCGTGGCGTCCTCGTCGAGCTCGTGGTGGATCATGCGCGTGGCCGCCTCGTTGTGCGCGGGCATGCGGAAGCGGCTGGTGAAGTTCCTGACGGGATGCCGAAGGTGAGGATGCACGTGTACAGGCGCCGCAGGAACATGTAGACGAACAGAAAGTAGGCGCCGATGCGGTCGGCCAGGCGGTCCTGCAGCGGGGGAGCGAAGGTGCCCTCCTGACACATGTCGATCTCCTTGCCCTGCACCAGGTCGTTCAGCACCTTCAGGAACACCTTGCAGAACTTCATGTTGGTCGTCCCGTCGCTCACGTTGTGGTGGAAGCCGAAGAGACACGCGTACTTGTACTTCAAGTTGTGGTTGTCGTCCCTCACGCCCTGCTCCTGCGGGCTGAGCCTGATGAACCGCGTGAACCACAGGGGCCCCGCCTTGACGTCGTAGCGCCGCTTGAGCAAGGTCTCCACGGCGCCCTCCACGTCCCGGGTCTCCAGCTCCTCCACGTTGACGACCTCCCGCGCCATCTCCCTCCACCAGAGGCGGCCGTCGCGCTCCGCCATCTCCATGCGCAGGTTCGGCATCTTCCTGTCGGGGGAAGGAGGGTCAGAGAAGCGACATTGTGGGCTGTCGTGGATTCAGTATTGCATGCATGTCAGGCTGGGATCGTGTGACTAAGTTATTGCGATAGGAATTATCATATGTAAATCATGACATGTTCACAAGGTGGTAGCGCAGGACGTTATCTAAGTTGTAGCAATGTTGGATTTTACTGGAACGGAGAGCAGTGTCGGCTTCATCATAAATAGTGAAAGTATATTTTTTGACTTTTACTTTCAGTGTGTGATGTCGCTGACACATGATTAAAAAAAGGAACAAAAATAACCAAGTCATCAATGCTCGCACACATACAACGTAAGGCTACTACACTGGAAAGAAAATAAAAATCATAATTACTTCGGTATTTCCAAGATATGCAAACATGACAGACTCAGAAGCAAATGAAGCACGTGTCCCAATACCTAAAGGTTAAACGTGCAACCTGACCCCACTCGCACCCCTCTATTGCGACCACCACGCTACCTGTACATAATAGTCGCCGCATATTTGATAACATCAAGGCTCAGGGGCGTCCGGGAGTCCAGCCACAGCGAGTACACCGTCGTCATGCAGCCGTATCCATGGGCGGCCGTCATGAACTTCTCCGCGTAGCCTAAGGGCCGCACCCACCCGCCCCCGACGGTCTGCTTGCCGAGGCGCTGGCCGGGGGCGAAGGTCTGCTGCTGCTGGGAGGGGGGCTCCCGCGCACGCCCTCGAGGGACTGGCACAGGAGGGGCGCGGCGGCGGTGGCGTTCCCCGGAGCCATGAACCTGGGGGCGTCTGCTTGGAAGGACGGGGTCGTCGTCTTCCACTGCTTGTCGTAGTTGTTGTTGACGGTCGCCGACACCACGCTCTCGCCGTCGTCCAGATCTGCCAAAGGGGGGGGAGAGGTGGATTAGCAACGGGGCACCACGAAGGAGTGGAGGGAATATAGGCCTATTTCTCGTTGGTGTTTTGAAACGTTTTTTGAGAACGAGTCAAAATTCTTTCAACGTTTCAATTTGCTAGAGACTACAATTTCACTTTTTATCAATACATGCAATGGGGAGAGGTGTATTAGCAACGGGACGCCATGCTTGAAGGAGTGAAGATAATATAGGCCTATCTCGTTGTTTTGAAACTTATCTACATTCGAAAACGAGTTAATGTTCTCATAAAGTTGCAATCTGCAGACACGAAGCTTTCACTTTTTATCAACATATGCAAAAAGGAAGAGTTGTTTGCGAATCGTGCGCCATGATCGACGAAGAAAATATAGGCCTATTTCGTTGTTGTTTCGAAACGTTTTTTGAGAACGAGTTACAATTCTTTCCAACGTTCCAATTTGCAGACACGAAGCTTTCACTTTTTATCAACATATGCAAAAGGAAGAGTTGCCTTAGAATCGGGACGCCATGATTGACGAAGAGAATATAGGCCTATTTCGTTGTTGTTTTGAAACGTTTTTTTGAGAACGAGTTAAAATTCTTTCAACGTTCCGATTTGCAGAGACTCACTTTCACTTTTTATCAACATATGCCAAAAAGGAAGTGTTGTTTGCGAATCGGGCCGCCATGATAGACGAAGAGAATATAGGCCTACTTCGTTGTTGTTTTGAAACGTTTTTTGAGAACGAGTTAAAACTTTTTCAACGTTCCAATTTGCAGACACGAAGCTTTCACTTCTTATCAATAATGCAAAAAGGAAGAGTTGCTTTAGAATCGGGACGCCATGGTAGACGGAGTGAAGAGAATATAGGCCTATTTCGTTGTTGTTTTGAAGCGTTAAAATTCTTTTCAACGTTCCAATCTGCAGACACGAAGCTTT